GGAACACTTATGCTATTTATAGAGGCTTTAAACGGCCCACACCTTCATATGTGGTTATGTTCTGCTTTTGCACAGAACAAAGCGAGGTGTGAGACACCCCCCGCATCACAAATATATAAATGCAATCACAGTCTGCTTCGATTTTCAAGGGCATTTAGGCAGAAGGTGAGTGGTTAGAGATATACAAGTGAAATCATCAGGGTGGTTTTGTAAGGTGTTAGGTGTACAAATAATGATAATTGCCGTTCAAGAGAATTTCTGTAAGTCTGAGTGATTCTGATTGGTCAATTTCCAACAATATCTTCTCATATCACTGCAGTCTCTTTTTTCTTACATAATTTAAAATCAAATCAATATTTCAAAATTTACATTTTTTGTTAAAATACTAATTTTCCCATAATAAGCAGGTAAAATGAACCAATAACAGGTGGTTATCGCAAATATATATATATATATATATATATATATACAGTGGGTACGGAAAGTATTCAGACCCCCTTCAATTTTTCACTCTTTGTTATATTGCATAGGACCATGTGATATTTCAGTTTTTCTTTTTTAATAAATCTGCAAAAATGTCAACAATTCTGTGTTTTTCTGTCAATATGGGGTGCTGTGTGTACATTAATGAGGAAAAAAAATTAACTTAAATGATTTTAGCAAATGGCTGCAATATAACAAAGAGTGAAAAATTGAAGGGGGTCTGAATACTTTCCGTACCCACTGTATATATTGCCATCATGACTGACTGATTGTACATTAATGACTTTACTCTGAAATATTGTCATTCAATTGAAAATTCGAACACTTTTTGGATTTCTAATTTCTTCTTCTGACCATCTCGCTAGTCGCTATCCCATCTTATCATTCATGCACTTCTTCCTCTGTCTCTGTTTCTCTTCCTCAACTCTATCCAGATGTAGCACATTCTGCCAGCTCTTCTTCAAACTCGTAATTTTGCAATTAAGACTGAGGAGGCAAAAGAGGCTCTCCTAAGCAGCTGGCTCACCATCAAGCTGACACCAAGAGGAAATCCTCTTTTATTATTTACTCACTGTTTTCCACACACTGATGATTAAGGAAGAACCAGATCACAGCTGTACTGGTATTCTATAAGTAAACCTTAAACCTCTTTTTCTTCTTTGAACGCACACAAAAATTGCCAGTGAGTGGCCAGTTTGTCCTTTTAGTCTCGTTGCTACTTAACAGCTGATGAATTCAATGTTACATTAAAAGGTCTTGAAGGCAAAATAATTTCCAGTGTTTTCTAGACACTACAATCCTAAATTCATCAGTTAGTAGTGAATATAATTATGAATAGGCTATAATATTATGTCCACACCTTAAATCTCAAGTCAGGGTGACCCAGTAACTGGAGATTCAGTGTTGGGGGTAACACATTACAAATAACGTTGAGTTACGTAATCAGATTATTTTTTTCAAGTAACTAATAAAATAACACATTACTGTTAAATGTACAAGTAATATCGCAAGTAAGTAACGCAAGTTACTTTGTTTTCCTATTTATTCACTGACACCTCTCCTGTCCCCATGTTAAAAGAAATTAGGAGTGAGGTACAGACTACAGAGGTTGCGAAAGGGCCTTTACATTTGATAAAAATATAACTTTTGGTTTTTTTTTAGTAAACAAGTCCAGCCCAGGTGACAAAAAGTAATGCAAACGTAACGTAATGCATTACTTTTCATAAAGAATAACTAAGTAATGCAACTTATACAAGCTGATCTGTTATTACTCATGCATAAAAATTACATGGACATGCATATTACTGAGCTAACAGTGAGTCCTCCAAACGTCAGAAGTGTATGTGGGATGATTTTTGTCTTTTATGACTAGTCCCACCCACAATGTTCTGGAATGTTCCAGAAAGCACTAGAATATTACAGAATATTTCGGAATGTTACAGAAACTCTTGCAAAAGCAAAATATATTTTTTTAAAAATAGTACAAAAACCTAAGTGTACTAAACCCATGTTTCATAATTAATAATAGCCACTGCTGTATTGGCTTATTCTGTTGCATAAGCAAAAGTCTAGAGTTATTTAGGGCATTTTCAGACCTGTAGATAGCTTGCTTTCTTCTAAAACAAGGACTTAAGTTACAATGTTGCAGTTTCTTCTTGGTTCGGTTCTTTTTCACAAAAGAACATTTCAAAGTATACCAAATATGTGTTTATGCAGAGGTCACATGTAGGTAACGCTTTTCCCATCATGAATTATGATACAACTTGTTCCGTTAGGTCTTCTCAACACAAATGAACCATTCAGGCAATCTCTGACTGATTGTTTTGGTGCAGATCTAAGTGCAATTGTCGTGTTCACATATGGAGAAAACATCAGGCATCAGCTTCCGAAACAAACACTCCAAACACGCTAGGTGCTGCTAAAGCTCCCTTACATGAACAGTTCACCCAGACATAAAGATCTATACTCAGCCCTACTCATCTCACATTTGTCGCCCTTAAATCAAAAAGGGAATAATCCATAAAATGTCCAGGCTGCTCTCTTCTATTCAACTAAAGTAAATGGGACTGTCAAGATTAAAAAAATAATACCATAAAAATGTAGTGCAATATTCTTTAAATCATTAACCGAAAAGCATGTCTTGCTCTTCTGGTGCATTCACAATACACACCAAGAAACTGCACAAACGGCATTAATAATGAACAAGACGTATAGATCCTACACTGTTCTAACAGAGCTTGACTCTTCGAGGCATAATCTACAGGAGGCACAAACAGCTTTGCTCTCCAGCAGAGACCCTCAGGTTTCAGCATGTCTGAGCATGACCTTGCAGAAGAATTCCCTTTCTCCCTCAGCTCCTATGGGGTCCCATATTCCAGATACAATCAATGGAGGGTTTCAACAGGTTTAGAGAAAGATTTGAGAATGTGACTGAAAGAAAAAGAGCTAGGAACAGAGGCAGAGAGGAGAAAGATCGAGCAGTGGGTAAAGTCATCATACACTCAACTGTGCACCTGTAATTAGAGCTAGTGCTGAAGCCTGCGGTGGAAAAATGGAGAAGCGCAGCACTGCAGAGGGTGCCATTGACCTGCCGTGACCGGTAATTGCAGTTGCCTTAAAGAACATCCAGTGCCTTTAGTGCGTAAAAGGGGAGCAGGAATTAAAATCACTTTTCCAAGGTAATTTAGACTCTAAATACAGTGAAGAAAACAGCTATCCACAGGTCTTCAGGAACAAACTGCAATGTTAGAAAACGTGCCAAAACTTCACACTTCCAAGTCAAACTGCCTGTGCAAGAGTTTGAAAAAAGCTGTCCGGATGGTCTCCTTGCATAACATGATTTCATATGAGAAATGCCCATCTTGTTCATACTTCAATGTGAAAGGCGTCTCTCGGAAATTTGATAATTAGACTCATGAGACAAATGGGAGGCATGAACATCTGCAGTGAGGACATCAGTTGCTTCAAATCTGAACAATTATGCAGGTAGAATCAGACTTCTGTTGTTAAAATGATTTGAAAATCTAATTTAAATGAGATATGTAGATATCGGAGATTGCCGAGTATATCTGCACGACCATCTATTTTACCATTGTGCAAATTTCTATTTTATGAAACGTCCTGTTAATTAGTTTCCATTTTACTGTCGAGATGCTTTGTATAATATCATAATACCTACTCTATAAAAATGAAATATACTTGTGGAACCATTTTGAGATTCCCAAGATCATCACACTGGTGGAAAACCTCAGGGCTCTCTTTCAAAATGGACCTTATAAGTTCATGCAAGATGCTAAACATTGTTTAGCGTCCTCCAGTAACACCATCACAAGGAAAAAGCTTTGAGACATGTCAAATATACAATACTGAAAGTCCTTGAAAAGGATTAACTGTTGCTGCAAGACATTTACAAATATACACTTTACACTTTGAGTTATTTCAAAATATGTAATGAATAAATTCCTACCTTGACACTGAAATCCTTGTTTCCCAAAACCCCTGAAAGATAAAAGCAAGTGTTCATTGAAAAAATAATAGAACCATAATTTTTAAACATTTACACTTGCACTAAATCGATTTGTGGTTTGATTGTTGTCTCATGTAGTATGACTCATTTCCTATTTCTTGTACTGTCTTATACTCTTGTTTTGTCTTACAACAACGATCAAGTAATTTTTTTTTCATTCATATTTTTACATTTTCATTTTACTTTGTACTTTACACACTTTACTATGGGAAATCAATAAAGCTGTGGCTCAAAACCAAGTGAGCTCCTACTGAAACATTCCATTCTAGGCTTGTTCAGAGTCAGCTGAGTCTACATATGATGGCCATAAAAGAGTGCTGTCTAGATAGACAGCACCATAGGTTTTGAGACAGTGTACAGTGTTACACCTGAGCTGCAACAGTAACAGGTCCACCTTTATGGAAAGCCATTTTAACATTTATTCCTTAAACTAAAATCTCTTTTTATGTTACTACACCTTTTTTTTTATTTGTTATTCATTTATTAGACAACAGTGTCTTTTCCATTGCATTTTTACTAGAAACATTTCTAATTTAACTAATAAGACATTTAAGTTAACAGCTAAAAAAGGGCAGTTCTGGCAAGTCATTACATATAGGAAAACATTTTAAGACGTATACTAGTGCCTCATATATAGATACTAGCATCTCTCTATTAGTACAAAAAAATGTTATGGCAAAATGGATAGCAGCTGTCGCAATTGTTACTAGTAACTAATGAATGAGTACTAATAGTATGAACTGAATATGTACATGTATTTTAATAAATAGCTGCATGTACATTTGAAGGCTACTAGTTACTACTGGATTACTTAGTAGTACTTAAAAAAATAAGAACTAGCAACACAATACTACTTAGTTTTAATAAATGAATGTTAAAGCAGCTTGCCATACACTTCAGTAAGGAGCGCACAAACTCTTACCAGATAAAGTCCGTGCAGTGGCTGCAGAAAGTAGGCTGCTTGAAGAAGCGAGCGATAAACTTGTGGTCCTTAACTTCGTGAACGTTCTTCTGTCTCAGAGCACCTTGTCGGGCAAAGCCCCTCATGGGTGCGCTCCCCTCCTCTCCATCGCTGTTCGATTGCTCTGCCATTCTCAACGCGGGGAAAGTTTGCGCGAGCCTGTACTCTGGAGTTAGTTGTGCGGAGTGCGTACATGTAATGTAAAGCTTCAGACTGCGTTGAACTCTGAGGCGCGATGCTTCGCGTCCCTCTCCGCCCAAGTGCCCTCCTTACGCACCGGTACACGCGCACACACACACTGACGCGCTGTTACAAGACTCCTCCCACACTCCCACTCATTTACCTTTGGCAAGCTGAGCTGATTGATAGAGATTCTGTCAAACCTCTCTCACATTTACATGAAAGAGCTCGACAGCATAATGAAAAGGAGACAATGGGAAACATTTACGAGTAGATAATGAAACGCGTGGCTCATGAAAATTTATATGGCAAGAGAAGTGTCAATCATAGCTCGTCACTACCTTGTTGATACTGTAGAACACCTACTCTAAGTGATAAAACTTAAAGATGCACTCAGTATTTTCTTTCTAAATACTTTTTATACAAAAAGAACTAACACTTTAGAGAAATGATTAGAATCATTTACAACCATAAGAGTTAAAGTCTAGAGTAGACTGTAGTCATCTAGAAAAAGCGATTTATTCTACATGGAGCGAGTCGCCCCCTCGTGGGCACTAACATGTTGACATCACAGGACCAGCTGTAGAAAACGCACAGAATTTTTTTCAAAGATTAAATTTGTCTAGATTAAATAGTGTGCTATTAGAATGAGAGAAACAAAAAAGGAACAAATCAAGATGCTTTTGTGTCAAGTTGGAAATTAGTAAAATTAGCTAAACGTCTTTGCTGATAGATTCACATCCAAATTGGGATGATATGAGCCAGTTAAAAATTAAACTTACCGAGTGCACCTAAAACATTTAATTATTTTGAGCACTGCATATTCATACCTGAGAACTGATTAGACCATATCAAGATAACTAGGAAATCATTCCTAAATTTAATTAGCCTGTATTTAATTACATATCATATGATAAAATGTGGCGAAATACGAAATAATAATTATGTTATGCAAGGAAGGAACCACCATAGACAATATGTAGATTTCAATTCTGATGTATTTTTTATTTTTGTTCATCCAAATCCTGAATATGTTGTTAAATTTGACTATATGCATGAAAAAAGCGCCAACTCTGTCATTATTTCATATGAATTACAATGTTGTGGACAAACCTTCAAGTTAAGAAATCCATTAATGATAATACTGTTACAACTGTACTGTACCAAGCATTTTCATAAGGGTTTTTGATGCAACAGGCTGCAGGTTCTCTGATCTCCCCAAAGCCTGAAGCTGCACGGAGAGCAAGTTATTTCGGTGGCTGCTCATATAAATTGACGTCTAAGCTTTGTTACATAAATTTTTGTGTTGTGTCCCAGCTGACTCTTTTCAGCAGAGTTGTTTCATTCCTGTTATGTGACGCACTAACAAGTAGGAGGCAAGGACAACCAGCGGCTGAGTACAATGGCACCATGCACTTACCGAGAGAGACTGAGTAACCCTCAGCAGGGAGCTTGAACTTCTTGTGCTGATGCTGTCATTTGCCTGTTGATCATATCGTGTGATTCATGCTTGTTGCT